TTCTTGCCAAAGTCTGAGACATTAGGATTCCGTGACTCCTTGGATAAGAACACAAATATGCACCCTTCCTACGAACAACCTTCGGAGCCTGGGCTGCCCAGTGCCACAGGAAAGAAAAAGTACATATTTTCATAAGGGCAATGCAACCTGCAAAGATGTCACCCTGCCCACTCTGAGGACAGCCTTTTGTGCCATTGTGCAGAGGAATCTCAGCCCTCTCCTGTCATCATGAGTGGGCTCATGGCTGCCCTTGTCACAACCAAAAAGCCCACTGAAGTGGGGTTTCATCCCATCAAAGGCTGGGAACCACTTCTCCATCAGACCCATGAGGCACAGTGCCAGAGTCCACGGAATTTCGGATTTTTTTTTTTTTTTTTTTTTTTGAGATGGAGTTTCCCTCTTGTCATTCAGGCTGGAGTGCAATGGCACAATCTCGGATCGCTGCAACCTCACCTCCTGGGTTCAAGTGATTCTCCTGCTTCAGCCTCCCGGGTAGCTGGGATTACAGGTGCCTGCCACCATGCCTGACTAATTTGTTTTGTATTTTTAGTAGAGACAGGGTTTCGCCATGTTGGCCAGGCTGGGTCTTGAACTCCTGACCTCAGGTAATTCACCCTCCTCAGCCTCCCAAAGTGCTGAGCCACTGTGCCTGGCTTTCTTTTTTTTTTTTTTTTTTTTTTTTTTTTTCTTTTTTTAATGGAGGAAGAGACCCATGAAGGTAGAAATGACTGCCTTCACTTTTCATGGACTGTGGAGCCATGAAAGCTGGAATGTGGCTCTGCCAAAAGTCAGGCATCGAAATGAACCGGGGCAACTTTAAAGTATAGGTTTGTATTTATTTTGTCTCTTTCTCTGAGGTTTTAAAGACTCCCAGGCCCAATTTCTTCGGTGGAGTTTGAGGTTTGGAGTAGCTGGGGTGCCCTTGGCACCCTTAGTAGGGCAGATGCTTTCTTCGAGTTCACATGTAGGCTGGGGGCGCAGCCCTGGGATGACACTGGGCTGCATGTGCCAGGGAGTGTCTCCCTCTTCCAGGGCTAAGCTCAGGGCCTTGGCTTTTTCTGTTACTTAAGGAAGGACTATTTGACAGCCCAAGCTTGCCAAACTGGGATGGGGCTGCCTTGAGTGGCCTGAGTCACTGGACATGTTGAAGCTTTTCTCACGGGCGAGAGGCTTTCTTTGGGCTCTGGGTGGACTAGGTACCTCTGAAGTTCTTGCCAAAGTCTGAGACATTAGGATTCCGTGAACATTAGATTCAGTGCTATATAATTAGGATGCTAAACCCCAGGAGAGAGCGGTGGGGGGAAATCAGATGGAAAAAGAAAGTACACAATACTTTCCAAAATCGAACGCAGATCTTGTTTCTCTTGCTGACTGATTTGACCCATCTGTGACGCTGATCTCTCTTAGGGGCACAATTTAGAGAAAACTTGATCAAACAGCTCCAAACCACCGCGGCCTTTTCAGACTGCTTTGCGGTCCTCTTTGCTTTCCGGTTGGTGGCAGGAACCTTGGACTCTGGACAGGTTTCTGGACTGTTCCGTGCTCTGTGAGTGCTGACTCTGCATTCTTGACTTTGCATCAGAGTGGGATGCCAGGTCCTGGAGCTTGTTCCTTAAGAGATAAGCCACCAGCTCCATGGACTGTGGGAGAGAAAGGCAAACAGAAACACTCTGTACTGTAGTCACTGGAGAGATTCTGCCTGGGGTTGTAGGTAGAGACCTGCAGAGGAGAAGGAGGTGGCCAACAGGAGATGGAGCCTCAGAGCAGGTCCTTTCTGCAGCCCCCTTACAGGGCGGATATCCCCCCAGCCCCTCAGATATCTGATTGGGGAAAGTGGGGATCTGTGGCCCTGGAGGCTTCCCCGTGAACGGTGCATGCAAAAGCCTGAAGTCTGCTGCTGCGCCCAGCCTCAGGGCTACCAGGGCCTCTTTCTTGGGAAAGTCCAGCTTCCCATTAGCTCAGCCCGCCTGGCTCCAATAAGCCCCGCTGACTTCCAGTTGGCCTGGCCATCAGATAAATGGCTCTGTTGAAGGGGCAGCCTTTCTATTCTTGCTGAAGACTTTTTTTCCCCCCAACATGAGCACAACAGGCTGGAGGAGGATGTGCCACAGGTAGAGTAACCTTGCACCATATGACTTGAAAAAAAGTCACAGGAGCAAAATCCACTAAAATACAAACAATGGCTGCCTTTGGGTGATGGACTAAGTGTGTGTTGTTCTCTCTTATATTTCCGAATGCTCTCATTTTTTCTACCATAAACATTCACTATTTTTATTTATTTATTTATTTTTGGAGACAGAGTCTTGCTCTTTCACCCAGGCTGGAGTGCAGTGGTGCAATCTCGGCTCACTGCAACCTCCACCTCCCAGGTTCAAGCCATTCACCTGCCTCAGCCTCCCAAATAGCTGGGATTACAGGTGTGCGCCCCCACACCCAGCTAATTTTTGTATTTTTACTAGAGACAGGGTTTCGCCATGTTGGCCAGGCTGGTTTCAAACTTCTGACCTCAGGTGATCCACCCACCTCAGCCTCCCAAAGTGTTGGGATTACAGGTGTGAGGCACCGCACCTGGCCGCATTCACTACTTTGTAGTGGACTAAAAGAGCTAAAATAAAGAGGGTGGAAAGTTTCACATATCATGGCATTTTGAACAAAAACTAAATCTTTTATAATACAGAGACCCACCCAATGGAAAATGCAGTGAATATTCTCTTGTGGACACCTGACCCACACTGTTTCTAAGCAAATGGCTGTCACCAAGCTGGTGACAGGTAGAACCCCTCAGTTCTTAGATGGGCTCACAGGGATTACCCTTGGGAATCATTAACACATAAACATCCAGTGAGTCCTTTCTCAGTGCCAGGTCTTCTCTGTGCTTTACATGTGTGTTTCATGCCCACAACCACCTGTAAGCAGGCACCAATACGGCAGTCCTCCTTTCTCCACGGTTTCACTTTCTGCAATTTTAGTTACCTGTGATCAACCACGGTCTAAAAATATTAAATGAAAAATTATAGAAATGAATATAAGTTTTAAATTGTGCACATTCTGAGGAGTGTGGTGAAGTCTGGCACCGTCCCATCCCCTAACGCCCAGGACGCGTCAGCCCTTTGTCCGGTGGATCCACACTGTATACGCTACCTGCCTGGTAGTCACTTAGTAGCCATCTCAGTTATCAGATTGATTGCGAAGGTATAGCAGTGCTTGTGTTCCCGTCATACTTATTTTTAATTACTAATGACCCCAATGTGCAAGAGTAGTGATGCTGGCAATTCGAATATGCCAAAGAGAAGCCGAAATGTGCTTCCTTTAAATGAAAAGTGAAAGTTCTTGACTGAATAAGGAAAGAAGGCTGAGTGCAGTGGCTCCTGCCTGTAATCTCAGCACTTTGGGAGGCCAAGGCAGGTGGATCATTTGAGGTCAGGAGTTCAAGACCAACCTGGCCAACATGGCAAAACCCCATCTCTACTAAAAATACAAAAATTAGCTGGGTGTGGTGGCATGCACCTGTAGATCCAACTACTTAGGAGGCTGATGCAGGAGAATTGCTTGAACCCTGAAGGCAGAGGCCGCAGTGAGCCAAGGTTGCACCACTGCACCTCCAGCCTAGGCAACAGAGCAAGACTCCATTTAAAAAAAAAAGAAAGAAAAGAAAAAAGAAAAGAGGCCGGGCATGGTGGCTCAAGCCTGTAATCCCAGCACTTTGGGAGGCCGAGACGGGTGGATCACGAGGTCAGGAGATCGAGACCATCCTGGCTAACACGGTGAAAACCCGTCTCTACTAAAAAATACAAAAAACTAGCCGGGCGAGATGGCGGGCGCCTGTAGTCCCAGCTACTCGGGAGGCTGAGGCAGGAGAATGGCGTGAACCCGGGAGGCGGAGCTTGCAGTGAGCTGAGATCTGGCCACTGCACTCCAGCCTGGGCGGCAGAGCGAGACTCCGTCTCAAAAAAAAAAAAAAAAAAGAAAAAAGAAAAGAAGAAAGAAAAAGAAATTATATGCTGAGGTTGTTAAGATCTATGACGAGAATGAATCTTCTGTTTTTTTGTTTTTTCTTTTTGTTTTTTTGTGGTAGAGATGGGATTCTGCCCTATTGCCCAGGCTGGTCTCAAACTGCCCATTGTTCACATGGCCATTGTTCAGCCATTATTCACACTTTGGTGGATTTTGTTCATGTCACAACAAAATCCACCCACCTTGACCTCCCAAAGTGCTGAGATTACAGGCATAAGCCACCAAGAATGAATCTCCTATCCATGAAATTGTAAAGAAGGAAAAAGAAATTTGTGCTAGTTTTGCTGTTGCACCTCAAACTGCAAAAGTTATGGCCACAGTTCATGGTAAGTACTTAGTTAAGATGGTAAAGTCATTACATTTTTGAGTGGAAGACATGAACAGAAATGTGTTCTGATTGGGCGCAGTGGCTCATGTCTGTAATCCCAACACTTTGGGAGGCTGAGGCAGGAAAATCACCTGAAGCCAGGAGTTTGAAACCAGCCTAGGCAACATAGCAAGACCTTGTCTCTAAAATAAATAAATAAATCAACAAACAAACAAACAAACAAATAATAAAACAACAAAGAAATTTTGTAGGTGTGGTGGTACATGCTTATAGTCCCAGCTACTCTTAGAGTCAGATGAGAATTACTTCAGCCCAGGAGTTCGAGGTTACAGTGAGTTATGATCACACCACTGCACTCCAGCCTAGATGACAGAGCAAGACCCTGTCTCTAAAAAAATAATGAATAAACATGTTTGATTTATGGCAATCAGGTTCGGTACAATCCAAGATTCCAGGCATTCACTGGGGCTCTTAGAATGTGTCTCTCTCTGATATGGGAAGGACTACTATATTATTAAAATATCATACATATTTTAGAGAATTGAAAACTGAGGCATTGAGAAGCTAGATATGTGGCAGAGCTGGGATTTGAACCCAGGCAACACCTGGCTGCAGAGCCTGGGTGCTGAACCACTGTACCATTCTGCCTCTTGTAGGAGCAGAAATCCAGGTGGAACTGAAAGGAAAAACAAACAGGTAGAGAAGGTAAGCCAGGCTATAGGAGAGGCTGTCGGTGCTTGCTCTGGGCTGATTCAGGTGGGTGTTGACACAGCAGGGTCAGAGAGTGAGTCAGAAGAGCTGGGGCCAACTCAGTCTTGTTATTTCTGCAGTGTGCTGGACATTTTTCCGACTGTGGTAGCACTGGCCCAGGCCAGCTTACCTCAAGGACGGCGCTTTGATGGTGTGGACGTCTCCGAGGTGCTCTTTGGCCGGTCACAGCCTGGGCACAGGGTAAGTGGAAGAGGTACGTGCCCACACGTAGGCTCTTTAGGAGGCTGGTCTGCTGCCTCTCACCTCCGTGCAGACAGAACCATCCTCAGAAGATGCAAACAAGTGGCTGGTTCAGACCCCAAAAGGTGAAGCATTTGAGATGAGCCTCTTTCCACCCCCAATCCCCAGTCCAGATTTATATTTAGCAATTTGGCTTAGGGTGGGTGTATATAGGTTCTCACTGCCTATAATGGGCAACGTTTCTGGCATGTATTTAATTTAATAACATAACTACCCAGCATGTTTTATTAGATGAGATGACTGACTAGTGTCTGCAACCTGTTTATTGTGAGCCTCTCCCTCTAGAAGGGAAGCTTCTTGAGGGCAAGAATCTGAGCCATGGAGTTCAGCTCTGAGTTCTCACTGCCTGCAGTCAGCGAGCATTCAGTCCACGCAACCTGGATGAACCAATGAAGGACCAAATGAACAAATGGGTGAAAGACCCTTTGGATGGCAGGGCCAGCAAGGGCCTTACATCCAACATTCTCCCGGCTCTAGAGGGCTAAGCACACTCTCTGTAGCCTGTTTTTTTTTGTTTGTTTTGTTTTGTTTTGAGATGGAGTCTTGCTCTGTCGCCCAGGCTGGAGTGCAGTGGCGTGATCTCAGCTCACTGCAACCTCCGCCTCCCGGGTTCAAGCGATTCTCCTGCCTCAGCGTCGCGAGTAGCTGGGACTACAGGCCTATTCCACCATGCTCAGCTAATTTTTGTATTTTTGTAGAGGTGAGGTTTCACCATCTTGATCAGGCTGGTCTCGAACTCCTGACCTCAAGTGATCAGCCCGCCTCAGTCTCCCAAAGTGCTGGGATTATAGGCATGAGCCACTGTGTCCGACCTGCAGCCTGTTCTTGACCAAGCAGTCCTTGGCAATGGCTTTGGGCTTCCACTTCCCAGCGTCACCTCCTTAATGTCCCCTTTTTGCACTCTGAAGCACTCATTGGCAGTGACAGCCAGGAAATGTCAGGCCTCACGGCCTTTCCTTGTGATTTCCCTGTGTTTTCCTTTCACCAAAAGGAAGAGGAAGCAGGAGGAGGCAAGGAGGCGGAAGGAGCACAGAGTCCCTTCTGCGACGCCCTGCAAATGCATGGCTTCTTGATGAGGGACCCACACATCAAAGGGTCTATTTATGTCTTTGCTAAGGGTCACATGGAAGTGACTCAAATGTACACAAATGTCCTGTGGCTGGTAGTTATCAAAGCTCTCCTTCCCACCCAGCCTCCCCCAGCAAACCAAAACATGAGTCTCCTATGGGCCATCGGCACTTCTGTGCACATTAATGCAGTTTTTAGGGGTTGTTGGATGAGATCTGAGAGGTCTTCTGAAGTCCTGCTTCTCCCCAGAATATCTGCCCCATAGAGCTGCAGACCCTTCCAGGCCTAGCCCTTCTCCCTGAGCAGGAGCAGCCAAGCAGGAAGATGGTTTCCGCCTTGTGGTTGGAAGTTAGCAGTATGTGACCCTGGAGGGTTGTCACAGACGTCATTGGAGAGGTGCTCTGGAGTGTTTATTACCATGGCTGCTAGGAATAATTGGGGTCATCAGGAAGTGCTTCAAGGACTGTGGTCTCCTTGACGTTGTCGGTACTGCCTGTGGAAGCCAGCTCCTTCATGTACTAACTTCCTTTCTCAGACGGGAGAGCTCTGCTCTTGCTCTAACTGGAGTTTTGCGCAGGCTCCCAGAGACCCCATCCTAACTCGTGCCCAGCAGGGTTAGGCCCAGGAACCAGATTGGAAAACCAGATACAAGTCACAGCATCGTCGTGGGAAGGTATGATGGGGTGATTAATGCAGCTGGAGTCAGGACTGATTTGCTCCCTAACCACACCCCATGGCCCAGAAAGAAACAGCCACGCTTACAGTTTGTGGGAAGCAGCTGACGGTATCTTCAAGGTTAAGAGCACATGGGGCTGGCACCTGTGGGTCACACCCAGTCTCCCAGAGCATAGCTGCAGTGTCAGCAAAGACACTTGAGAGAAGATTCTGAAGTTTGAGGACAACATGGGTAGTCGCTGGACCTGAATTTGGGTTTGGTCTTCTCTGGTCAGTTCTCTCTATTGAAGCAAAGTAATAGGCCTAAAGAAATAAGAGTAAATTGTCTCAAATTTGGAATAGCTATGGAGGAGGCTAGAAGGTAAGAATACGATGAATTATATATATACACACACACACACTATGCTATACATACCTGCATATATGCATATGTGTGCATATGTCTATACATGTGTATTATACATGTGCCTGCATATTCTAGACATGTATATGCATATGTATGTTTTGTTTTAATTTAATTTTGTTTTATTGTATTTTACTTTTTGAGATGGAGTCTCACTCTGTCACCCAGCCTGGAGTGCAGCAGCACAATCTTGGCTCACTGCAACCTCCATCTCCTGGGTTCAAGCGATTCTTCTGCCTTGGCCTCCCAAGTAGCTGGGATTACAGGCGCATGCAGGCCCAGCTAATTTTTGTATTTTTAGTAGAGACGAGGTTTCACCATGTTGGCCAGGCTAGTGTCAAACTCCTGACCTCAGGCGATCTGCCTGCCTCGGCCCCCCAAAGTGCTGGGATTACAAGTGTTAGCCACTGCGCCTGGCCTGCATATGCATGTTTATATACCATGCATGTATACACATGTAGGCATATGCACATCTGTAAACATACATGTATACACATGTATGCATATGCATGCGTATACCATACATGCATACACATGTTTGCATATGCATGTGTCTATATAAACATATATACGTATGCTTATGTTCATACACTATACATGTGTACATATGTATGCATATGCATGTCTATGCGCATATATGTATACACATGCATGCACACACATACATGTATACATATGCACATATCCAGGCACATATATAGAGATATACACATATATTTATATGCATGTGTATGCACATGTATACATATGTATATACATGCATTTATCGATATACACATACATATGTGTACACAGATGCATATGTCTGTAACACATGCATACATGTATACCCATGTATTTTTAAAGAAGCACAATTTGTATTCACCCTCAGATACATCCTGGACTTACAAGGATTCCAATATGAGTTGGTTTAGAAACAGTTTCAGTTCCAGAAGCTCAAAGTAACTCCTGGATACTCAGCTGGAAACAATATGCCAACGCTTCTCAGCAATCGGGTCCTTCCCTGTGGCAAACCAAGTAACCAAGAGCTAAGGAGAGAAGCAAGAGAGTTGAGAGGTGTCATGCGCATAATGGGCTCTGGTTCTACACTGGATGGTCTTCTCACAACTCACTCCATCAACCTCTAGGGGCGTTGTGTGGTGATGTTCAAAACCACAGCAGCTGACACCATGCTGCATGTTCGTGCATCAGCTCAACCTCCTGCTTCTGATCTTGATGGGTCTGTGTCTAGGCAGTGAGGGGCACCTGGAGACACATGAGGGCCGGGAAGGGGAGGGCTGCACAGCCTAGAACCAAATGTCCCACTTTGTGCTTTCCTGACTCCCAGATGGAAGCTGAAGGTTGTAACATCACCACTGGTTGGGTTGTGTCTTAGCCCCAGGTTGTCATGGTCAGGTCTAGAAATTGTCAACGAAGGAACGTCTCCCCTAACAGCTCTGCACCTGCCCAGCCTAACACAGTCTGGGGCTGCTGTAGGTCATGAAATGCTTGGCATGCCCCTGGAAGCCATACATTGAGGAAACAAGCTGCCTTTTAACGTCCAGAACGCCCATCGCTTCTCTTAGAGAGGCCCCTAGTGGCGAGAGACATCATCTGGGGTGGCTGGCAAACTGATCACCCCCATCCACCCCCTTTGGAGGCTGTGAGCTGTGCATCCCCACCTGAATGGAGAAGAAGCCCACCTTCAGGGGATGCTATATCAGCACCCTGTAGGACCTAAGGTAAGGGAACGCTCTCGTGCTTAAAAAACAAAACAAGATAAAATAGAACAAGAAAGGCCACCAGGAAGGCAAAACAAGTTTGCAGAAGATAAAGTCATCTTTGAAATTTGAACCAGGCATCTGGAGAGCAGTGATTCATGTGTACTTTTGACAACTTCCTTCCTATGTTGATATAAACAAGAAAGCCATAGTGGGTCTGCTCACATGAAAAAAAAAAGAATGCATAGACAAATTGCCCGAAGTCCATCTATGTTTCCGAGAATGAGCCATCTCACAGTTTTGCTTCCTCGTGGATTTTGGAAGTTGCCTCTGGTAATGCCACATAAATAGTGGGAATATAGCAGCCCACCCTCATGGAATTTCTGTGACCGAGACCCAAGTAGTGTGACCGATCTGAAGCAGCGAGCCTTCACTCCCATCTTCTGCATGTCCAAGTGCATCGTGTGTCAGTTGACAATAGATTTTCCAAATCTCCCACTTCCTGCTGTCTCAAGAAGGAAACAAAACGGTCTCCTGCGGTGAAGAGGCTTGGCTTTCTGCGGGGATGGAAGAAGTGAGGGTTTTCAGTTACGACTTCTTTTCCTGTTTGGAAGGAACCTGCTGTCATCACGCGCGCCCTGGATATGTGCAGGGATTGTCACGAGAACCTGGAAGCCGCAGGTGTGGGGAGGAGCCCTACCTCGGCGGCATCCTCTCGGAGCTGTGAAACTCGGGGAGACAGCTGTTTACTGCTCCAACAGATGTTTCTCATTTTTTAAAAAGTCTCGTGGAAACTTTGAATCATGTAAGTGCCTTTCCAGCCCTATATACAGTTGTGATTCATACCAAGGCAGTCTCATGCTTTTAGCCCAGACCCACCAAACTACCAAGGACGCTGGCCTTTTATTTTCTTTCACATCCTTCCCTCGAGAACCCTGATTTAGGTGTTTCCATTCTGTAGGGTAATTCTTTTATTTGTGACCTGATGAGGAAAGATTTCCTCTGTCCAAATATAGTCGGATTGAGTCATAGCTGTGGGCGTCTGTGACCAGAGTCTGGGCTGTGCCTGATTCTGGGGAAATCAAGGATGCCTTCTTTTGTACCATCCTTGCTCAAGGGAGAGTTGGAAAATTGACTTGATGTGAAAGAAGCCTTTCTTCAAAGAGATCTGAAGGTCACCTGCATCAGAATCCCTGGAAATACTTGTAAAACAAGTACGTCCCCAGGGTCCATCCTGACCCTGAGGCGTTGGAACTCAGGCAGGGTGGCCTTGTGGGCCTGTGACTGGTGCTCCACACACAGAGCCCCGCACTTGGAGGGACCCTGCACTTGGTTTAAAGCTCTGCCGTGGTCATCATGAAATTTTAAGTTTGTGAACAAGGTATCCCTGATTTGCATTTTGCTGTGTACTTTGCAAATCACATAGCAGGTTTCAGGCCTAGAAATCTGACCTACCTAGTGAGACCTTTTGCCTCCTCTTCCGGAGATGTAACCCACTCCCTTCCATTAACTAGCAAAATAACAACTTCACAGGCTCCCTGGATTTGGCTGCTGTGGACTCCAGGCTTGTGTCTGTCAGTGTTGGTTTGGGCACAGGGATAGGGAGACCAGACCCTGAAAAAGACAGTAATATTTTCCAGGGAGCATCTAGCATCATCTAGCATGTTTTTTTGTTTTGCTGTTTCGAGACAGGGTCTCGCTCTGTCACCCAGGCTGGAGTGCAGTGGTGTGGTTATAGCTCACTGCAGTGTTGACCTCCCACACTCAAGCAATCGTCTCGTCCCAGCCTCCAAGTAGCTGGGACCACAGGTGTGTACCACCATGCCTGGTTAATTTTTGTTTTTTTTTTTTTTTTGTAGGGAGAGGTCTTGCTGTGTTGCCCAGGCTGGTTTCAAACTCCTGGGCTCAAGCGATTCTCCTGCCTCGACCTCCCAAGGTGTGGGGATTACAGGCGTGAGTCACCAAGCTCTGCCAATTTTTCTATTAGTAAGCTCTGCCACCTTTTCTCAGGTGCTGTTCCACCCCAACAGCGGGGCAGCTGGAGAGTTTGGAGCCCTGCAGACCGTCCGCCTGGAGCGTTACAAAGCCTTCTACGTTACAGGTGAGTGAGGGGCCACTTAGCCCTGCCTCCCACATGCACAGCTGCACGGGGACCCCGTGGACTCTCACCCAGGCCTCTGGGAATGAGTGTGAACCCCTCCTTTGGGGGGTTCTCAGCCCCTCTTGACAAGCATCTCCTCCAAACCCAGGGTCCCTGCACAGGCCCTCTGGATCCCCCATATGCAAATAAGGTCTTTGTGCTATTCACCTGAACTTCTAACGAGCTGGGGGCTCTCAGCCCGTTTATTCAGCTCCTTTTCACATACAGAGCGTTTCCTATTGTCGTGCTTTAAATGCCAGTTTGGATGAACGTTAAATGGAAGCCTAGAGATATTTGAAAGTGTAATTTACTTGACAATAGACTGTTTCAGAAACTAGATTTTAGAGGACTAGTTAGCAAACCGACAGAAGTCCCTCTGCTTCTTGGTTCACTGTGACTATCTGTCTCTTAGATGTATATTTTAGAACGTCATACGGGATCAGCATGGTCCTCAGGGTCTTCCAGTGGCTTCTTGCTGCCAACCGAATTCAGACTCTCAATCCCGAATCCTTCTGTCTTTCCAGCCTTAGTTTTCCAAGAACAAGTCTCCTCTTCCTTGTTCTCCGTATTAAAACCCTTTTAAGCTTTTATGGCCCAAGTCAAATGCCACGTTCATAAAACTCTTGCTTATCTTCCCAGCCGGGTAGGAATTCTGGAGAACTCTGTTATCTCTCACTTTCTGCCACGCATGCCAGTCGTTTAGGTACACGTCTTATTTCCTGTACTAGTTTTGTTGTTGTTGTTTGTTTGTTTGTTTGTTTTGAGACAGAGTCTTGCTCTGTCGCCCAGGCTGGAGTGTAGTGGCTGGATCTCGGCTCACTGCAAGCTCTGCTTCCCGGGCTCACACCATTCTCCTGCCTCAGCCTCCTGAGTAGCTGGGACTACAGGCACCCGCCACCTCGCCCGGCTAATTTTTTGTATTTTTAGTAGAGAGGGGGTTTCACCGTGTTGGCCGGGATGGTCTTGATCTCCTGACCTCATGATCCACCCGCCTCAGCCTCCCAGAGTGCTGGGATTACAGGCGTGAGTCACCGCACCCAGCCTGAACCTGTACTAGTTTTAAGCTTTCTAAATTCAGAACTCTTTCAGTGCTTTAATCTTCGTTGTCTTGAAGTGCTTAGTACACTTAGTAGGAACGCTACAATTTTTTTTTAAGTGAATGAAAACCAAAAAATAAAAAAAGGAAAACCTGTGACCTAATGCAGATTCTAACTTGATTCAGTTATTTAATGTTGGAGCTTTTCAAAGAATTATATAAGAAAAAAATAATTTTCCCTGAGTGTAAATAAGTGATCCTGAAGAAAATGTGACATAAAAACAAAACATGACTTGAGGGGTATTAAAAATGTCACAGAAATCTTTGATTCTCTAAAACCTAAAACTCGAAACAGTCAGATATGTGTTATGTTTTCAGTTGAAAAGTTTCTAGATTAGAGTCCTTATATTACATTATCTAAGAGGTATGGGCCTTCCAGGCTGAGTTAATTTCACAAGTACTAGTCCTGCCAGAAAGCCCTTGGCACCACAATGTTGGAATCATACATGTTACTATGAAGTAATAGGGCTATTTAAAATGATCACAATCAGATACGAATTATAACACTCAGGGGAGGTCTGCTCTTCTAAGGAGTCACCAAACTTCCAAGAGAGTCTGGGTAGGGAGCACTGAACTTTTAATCCATCAGTGAAAACTGGGAATAGGATGAAACAGCAGCATGTTCTGATTCCTTCTTCCTCTTGCTTCTAATATTTGCATTCCAGTTACTTACAACTGCTTTTGGATAAGCTAGATGAATTGACATCTACCACATTAGATTAGAGAAAAGATGTGTTTTTCTATGATGAGGATATGATGTTATGGTCATGCCCTGGGAGTGACCTTAAAAAGACAACCAGTCTGTTTTGGGATGTGGCCTAGAATTCAGGTGTACCTTATTGTTCTTCTTTTTAAAAACCAGTTAAGGTAACCTGTACACAAAGTGAAAGGCCCAGATCTATAATGTATAATTTGGTGAGGTTTTATAAATGTAGATAGCTGTATGTGTACCCTTTTAATGGTGTGAATTCCATTGATTCTTTTTCTTTTTCCACTGATTGATTTTCAAATGTTAAGCCAACTTTACATTCCACGATAAATCCCATTTAGTAATGATGTATCATACTTTTTATATCTTGCTGATTTTGATTTGCTAAGATTTTGTCTATAATTTTCCTTTCTTGTCTGTGTCAAGGTTTGGTATCAGGATTTTGCTGGCCTTATAAAGCGAGTTCAGAAACATTCCCTTCTCTGTTTTCTGAAAGGGTTTGTGCAAGATCAGTATTATTTCTTTCATGTTTGATTGAATTCATCTGTGATATGATTTGCCAAATTCATTGTTGTGAAGATTTTGTCATATTTTTTAAAAAGAGTGTATTTTAGGTCTTATATTTAGATCTCTGATCCATTTCCAGTTAATTTTTGTATGTGGCATAAAGTAAGGGTCCAACTTCATTGTTTTACATGTTGACATCCAGTTTTCCCAGAACCATTTATTGAAAACACTGTCCTTTCCCCATTGCATGGTCTTGGCACCCTTGTTAAAAATCATTTGATCATACATGCGAGGGATAATTTCCACTGTCTATTCTATTCCATTAGTTATATGTCTGTGTTTATGCCAGTACCACACTGTTTTGATTACTGTAGACTTGTTGTAGTTTTGAAATCAGGAGTGTGAGTCCTCCAGCTTTGGGCCTTTTTTTTTTTTTTTTTTTTTTAGACTGTTTTGACTATTCTGGGTCTTCTGAGATTCCATGTGAATTTTAGGATGAATTTTTCTATTTCTGCAAAAAACATCATTGGGATTTTGATAAGGATTGTACTGAACCTGTAGTTCACTTTGGGTAGTATTGACATTTTAAAAATAGTAAGTCTTACAATCCATGAACATGGGATGTAACCATTTATTTATGGATTTCCAGTTTTATTCCACTGTGGTCTGAGAGAATGCTTGATATAATTTCAATTTTCTTAAATTTATTGAGGCTCATTTTGTGGCCTATCCTATGATCTATCTTGGAGAAAGTTCCATGCACTGTTGAATAGAATGTGTATTCTGCAATTGTTGATTGGAATGTTCTGTATGTATCTGTTAAGTCCATTTGTTCCAAGGTATAGTTTAAATTCATTCTTTGTTGACTTTCTTTCTTGATGACCTGTCTAGTGCTGTCAGTGCAGTATTGAAGTCCCCCACTATTATTGTGTTGCCATCTATCTCATTTCTTATGTCTATTAGTAATTGTTTTATAAATTTGGGAGCTCCAGTGTTAGGTGCATATATGTTTAGGATTGTGATGTTTTCCTGTTGGACAAGGCCTTTTACCATTGTATAATGTCTCTCTTTGTCTTTTTTAACCACCGTTGCTTTAAAGTTTGTTTTGTCTGATATTACAGTAGCTACCCCTGCTTACTTTTGGTGTCTGTTTGCATGAAATGTCTTTTTCTATCCCTTTACTTTAAATATATGTGAGTCCTTATGTGTTAGGTGAGTCTCCTGAAGGCAACAGATAGTTGGTTGGTGATCTTATCCATTCTGCTGTTCTGCACCTTTTAAGTGGAGCATTTAGATCATTTACATTCAGTGTTAATATTGAGATGTGAAGTACCATTTCATTCCTCGTGCTATTTGTTGCCCATGTACCTTGGTTTTTTGTTTTTGCTTTTTAAATTGTATTTTTGTTTTATAGATCCTGTGAGCTTTATGCTTTAAGGAGGTTCCATTTTGATGTGTTTCCAGGATTTAGAGCTCCTTTTAGCAGTTCTTGTAGTGCTGGCTTGGCAGTAGTGAATTTTCTCAGCATTTGTTTGTCTGAAAAAGACTGTATCCTTCTTTCATATACGATGCTTAGTTTTGCTGGATACAAAATTCTTGGCTGATAATTGTTTTGATGGAGGAGGCTGAAGATATGGCCCCAGTCCTTTCTAGCTTGTAGGGTATCTGCTGTTAATCCTGACAAGTTTTCCTTTATAGGATACCTGGTATTTTTGTCTCATGTTTTCCTATATAGGTTATCCGATGATGTTTTTGCAATGAATTTCCCAGGTGTTCTGTGAGCTTCTTGTATTTGGATGTCTAGGTCTCTAGCAAGGCCAGGGAAGTTTTCCTTGATTATTCCCCCAAACATGTTTTCCAAACTTTTAGATTTCTCTTCTTCCTCAGGAACACCAATTATTCTTAGATTTGGTCGTTTAACATAATCACAGCCTTCTTGGAGGCTTTGTTCATATTTTCTTATTCTTTTTCCTTTGTCTTCGTTGGATTGGGTTAAGTCAAAGACCTTATCTTTGAGCTCTGAATTTCCTTCTTCTACTTGTTCAATTCTATTGCTGAGACTTTCCAGATCGTTTTGCATTTCTATAAGTATGTCCAATGTTTCCTGACGTTTTAATTGTTTTTTCTTTATGCTATCTATTTCCTTGAATATTTCTCCCTTCACTTCTTGTATTGATTTTTGGATTTCCTTGCATTGCGCTTTGCCTTTCTCTGGTGCCTCCCTAATTAGCTTAATAACTAACCTCCTGAATTCTTTTTCAGGTAAATCAGGGATTTTTTTCTTGGTTTGGAACCATGACTGGTGAGCGAATGTGATTTTTTGGGGGAGTGCCAAAGAGCCTTGTTTTGTCATATTACCAGAGTTGGTTTTCTGGTTCCTTCTCATTTGGGTAGGTTATTGTTGAATCTTAGCGTTTTGGTGAGCCTGTATCCTTGGACTGTGAACTTCACAAATGCTTCTTAGTCTTTCCCTTCCCTCCCCTTAGGTGGAACAGCTAGAGTGACTACAGCTGGGATCTCCCTACCCTTAGGTCAGTTAGGCTCTGAGAAAAACCTAAGTAATTTAAGCTCTGGTAAAATGGTTTCCCCGGGCAGGCCTCGTTAAGAAAACTAGAACGTTTTGGTATATTTAAAAATTACTTTTCTTCTATCTCTTTTGGAAGGATGAAGAGATGTTTCTCCAATATTTACTGTAAGAACTTGGTTAAGCTCCTGGAGGTAAAAACACAAAAGTGCGTGTGTTTTGGGTGTGGGGGGAGGGGGCACTTGACAACTGGGCCCCACTGGAGTTTTTTGTCCCTCAGACTTGTCCACACTGAGCCTCCAGCAATTTGTCAATTACAGTGCAGGGTTTCCCTCCTCCTGGCACTGGTTCTTGCACAGGTTTCTGCTTGTGGGTTTCTGCTCTGCTAAGTTGTGATTCTTTCTGTTTGCTTGTCTGTCTCTCTGACTTTGGGGGTAGTAGTTTGCCTTGTGACTTCATTTGTCTGAAAGACCTAATAAGAGTTGTTGGTTTTCTTTTTTTTTTTTTTTTTTTTTTTGAGATGGAGTCTCGCATTGTTGCCTGGGCTGGAGTGCAATGGCACGATCTCGGCTTGCTGCAACCTCCGCCTCCTAGGTTCACGTGATTCTCCTGCCTCAGCCTCCCAAGTACCTGGGATTACAGGTGCCCGCCACCACACCCAGCTAATTTTTGCATTTTTAGTAGAGATGGGGTTTCACTATGTTGGCCAGACTGGTCTCGATCTCCTGACCTTGTGATCTGCCCGCCTCAACCTCCCAAAGTGCTAGGATTACAGGCGTGAGCCACTGCGCCTGGCCGAGTTGTTGGTTTTTTAGTTTGTTGAGCTTTTTACTTGTTAGAATGAAGTGATGACTGCCGACCTCCTTACTTGCCAGACTAGAAACTGGGAGTCTCCTATTTAGCTGTCCTTAAAAATTGTAAGCTGGACATTGTTGGTGATGCATCGTAGCAATTCTGATTTCTGTTATCTGAGAGTGTTGATTTTTGTTTTCACTGGCAGTTAATCAGTAGTCAATTCCCTTGAATTTATAAAGCCTTAGTTTTACACTTTGTTAGGATGAGTCTTTCAGATTTTTCCCTTGATCTTAGGCAGATCCCTCAGTCTTGGGACACAGTGTCTACTCCTAGCATGAACTGTTTGTCAAAACTCACATCACTGCCTTTTACTGGCAATGAAGAATAATCAAGTTCTACTCCAAACTCAAGGCAAAGACAACAACTATTAATCTCTACTGATCAACTTGACTCTCAGCCACAGGAGGAAATCCAGTAATAAAGGGTTATCTAAAGGCTTTGAGATCTACTCATTCTCCTAAATATTTCAAATTTTATTTCTGGCCAGATTGGACCAGAAGCCTGAATCCTTAGGTGGTATGGCTTTGCCCCTATAGATTTCCTTGGACTGAGTTGCATGTTGGCACCTGCTTTCATCATATAGTAAAGGATGTGATAAGAAGTCGTCAGTGGAACCATCCTAGTATCAGTTTTGTTTTTTGTAAGAATGCCAGTGAGCATTCTATCCTACAGGGTCCCCTGTAGGAGAAGGAGCCACTGGAAGAATTTCTCTCAGATCTTAGTGTCAGAAAAAGCTCTGCTTCTCCTGAGCAACTGGTAAGTTTCTATCTCATTAATGTTTGGTTGCTGCTAAGCTCAGAAGCAAAGTCAGTGTTTAGGAACTCTTGTAATTTTGAGGGCTATCTTTTGCCCTAATTCCCTTTGTTTATTTAATTATGTTATATTTATTTCCATCAGACACCTTAACTACTTTTTCTATAGCAAAGGCAAAAACAACAACAACAACAACAAAAAAAAAAACAAAAAAAACACACACACACAAAAGTCATCGAAATCATGAAGAGCCAAGGAAGCTGCTGTCATTCCAAACATTTTTGTCCTTCCTCTTCTGGATGGCTTTCACAGCCAGATTTGAATCCACATAAGACTGTCATCTTCAACCCAAAGTGAAATTACTCACCTACCTTTCTACTTGATTCACCGATTGGTAGTCAAGAAATCGATTTTCAAAAAAATCAAATTTACTCTTAAAGGGCAGAGGTTAAAGATACTTAAAAAAATTATATCCTGGCTGGTGCGGTGGCTCATGCCTGTAATCCCAGCACTTTGGGAGGCCGAGGTGGGCAGATCATGAGGTCAGGAGTTCGAGACCAGCCTGGCCAACATAGTGAAACCCCATCTCTACTAAAAATACAAAAAGTAGCTGGGCGTGGTGGCGGGTGCCTGTGATCCCAGCTACTCAGGAGGCTGAGGCAGGAGAATTGCTTGAACCCAGAGGCAGAGGCTGCAGTGAGCCGAAGGTTGCACCATTGCACTCCAGCCTGGGTGACAGAGCAAGACTCCAACTTGAAAAAAAAAACAAACAAAAAAAAATTATATCCTGATTTTGTGTCAATAAAGATACTTGAATGAATGTTCTACTGGCTCTGAAGGCAAGTTCAAGGAGAACTTCCAAATCATTTTAAGCTGGGTGCAGTGGCTCCTGCTGATAATCCCAGCATTTTGGGAGGCTAGGACAAGAGGATTGCTTGAGGCCAGAAGTTCGAGACCAGCTTGAGCAACATAGCGGGCCCCTGTCTCTGGGGGGGGGGCGGGGGGAAGCCGGGTGTGGTGGTGCATGCCTGTGGCCCCAGCTACTTGGGAGGCTGAGGTGGGAGGATCGCTTGAGCCCAAAAAGGCTGAGGCTGCAGTGAGCTAGGATCACGCTACTGCATTCCAGCCTGGGCAACAAAGCCAGACCCTGCCTCAAAAAACAAAAACGGAAATGAAAAAGCAAAACATTTTGGACCACAGGATCATCACTGGAAGGAGCAAATAGATTTCTCAAGGTCATTTCTCTGACAGAGAGAGCCGTCATTGGAATATTTGGTTATCTGGTATGTTTGCATTAATGTATAATCACTTGCAGCTCTCATCTTTACAACATAGGGCAACTGTCAGGGTTAGCAAGGTATTTGTTGTCATTCCCTCTCTAGGTGGAGCCAGAGCATGTGATGGGAGCATTGGGCCTGAGCTGCAGCATAAGCTTCCTCTGATTTTCAACCTGGAAGACGATACCGCAGAAGCTGTGCCTCTAGAAAGAGGTGGTGCGGAGTACCAGGCCGTGCTGCCCAAGGTCAGAGAGGTTCTTGCAGACGTCCTTCAAGACATTGCCAATGACAACATCTCCAGTGCAGATTACACGCAGGACCCTTCAGTAACTCCCTGCTGCAATCCCTACCAAATTGCCTGCCGCTGTCAAGCCCCATAACAGACGAGGAGGAATATCTGGGAATTAGGCAAGTTTGTTTCCAAACTTCATTTTTACCCTCTTTACAAACACACGCTTTAGTTTAGTCTTGGAATTTGGTTTTGGAGTTAGCCTTGCATATCCCCTCTGTATCCTGTCCCTCCTCCATGCTGGCCTGAGAGCAGCTGAGCCGTGCTGGCTCTGGGCAGGGAGTGTGCCCTAATGGGAAGCACACGGGCTTTGGAGTCACGCACAGGTGCCAGCTGCAGCTTTTGAACTTGGGCAATTGTTTAACCTAACCTGCAAGTTGATTTTGAGGGTTAAATAAAGGCATACATGAAAATGCCTGGCACGTTACCTGACACAGAACAGATATTCGATACATTTTAGTTTCCTTGTTTCTCTGGTTCCCAGTGTCTCTGGTCATTTTCGTGTAAATCCATTCTAATTAGTATCTAGGGCAGAGCTTCTCTATTTTTTTTTTCCTTCCACACACCAGTGTACTCACTGGTCTCCATCTTTAACATGCAAACAAATCACCTAGGATCTTGTGAGAATCTGGATTCTGTCTCAGTAGGTCTCGAGTGGAGCCTGAAATCCTACATTTCTAGCAAACAGTGCACAGATTTAGACCAAAGTTAGGTCGCTTTCCAGATCTCAGAGCAGACGAGTCCATGGATACGTCTGTGGCCCAGTCCCCTTCCTCTCCTTTTAAGGGTGAAACGATTGTATTTAAAAGATGTTAAAGAGTTCTTCCTGTCCCCTATAACCACGAGGAAATAAAAAAATATAAAAACCCCAAAAATGCATTGCCATGATTTTATTATTAGTGTCCAAAATGGGACTCCCAGTAATAAATGATTTATTCCAGTCACAGCCAAAAAAGACTTTGCCTGGCTAAAATAGTTTCTCTAAGTATGTAATATACAAGAAATACAATTCAAAGAGATGTTCCTATAAGTACATTTTTTACACAGCATATATTTAAAAAGGAGGCCCCTTTTAATATAAAATTCTGGTTATATACCAATATGGTTAATTAGCATTTACACTATGGTTTGAACATATTTTAAATAGCATAATGTGTATACAATGTCTCCCACGCCCACTGGCAACCAGGGTCGTGGGAAGCTTGGTGAGGAGTTAACCAGGTCCTGTGGTTTAAGCAGTGCAGCACCCGGGATTCCTGCCCCCCTTTCTGCTCACACAATTGCACTCCATTCTTCCACCTTCCTTGTTTTCTCCAAAACCACCTGATAGGGGGATGTCCTGATTTCTGAGGTGTGCTTCTCATCATGACTGCTTCGTTTTGCCCTTCTGATTTCCACGGCACAAGATTATCTACCAAAATCAAAACAGAATGGCCTTACTCTTCTCAGAAAGAGGCTGGGAGGCAGGTGCATTATGAACAGGTCTGTGCCCATGCAGAGTGAGCAGGGAGAGGCTGGGCACTGCGGAATTTTTCTATCTGACCTCGCTCATGGCCACAGAACAGTCACCCAGCTTATTTAGATGTAGACAAGTATGACATAGTTCTAGCAAATACTGACTGTATAAAAATATCTGTGTGTGTGTATGTATTTATATGTATATGTATATATTTTTTAAAGGCTCATCTTACTTGTAAACATGGACTGCTCAATCACTATTAAAAAGTCTGTTTAGGCCAGGTGCGGTAGCTCACGCCTGTAATCCCAGAACTTTGGGAGGCCGAGGTGGGTGGATCACTAGGTCAGGAGTTTGAGACCAGCCTGGCCAACATGGTGAAACCCCATCTCTACTAAAAATATAAAAATTAGCTGGGCATGGTGGCATGTCTGAAATCCCAGCTACATGGGAGGCTGAGGCACTAGAATCACTTGAACCTGGGAGGTGGAGGTTGCAGTGAGTGGAGATCACGCCAACACACTGCAGCCTGAGGGACAGAGTGAGACTCTATCTCAAAAAAAAAAAAAAAAAAGGGAAGGTCAGTTTATACCCTTGGGCTTGATTTCCTGACTCTTGCTCACAAGATTGGGACTAGTCTCACAAAATACAGAGACTTGTACAGGTTGGATTGTTCCTGAAACAAAAGCTTCTCATCCTCCTGAATGAAGCAGCTTTCTAAGGCACCAGAAATGATCAAGTCTCTTTTCTTTCACTGCTCTCGGAGCAAAAGAGGCAAGCGTGATCAGTATATGAAGTGTCAGTATATGTTCTAAAAAGATCGCTAGTGATGAGCCGCCTTCTTAAGGTGGCGGCTCACAGAGCTCCTGCAGCAGACTACTCAGGCAAGGCTGTATGTTTGTTGCTGCAAGAGAGGCGATTTTAACCAAGCTGAGACTCCAAGAGCCTTTTGTGGTCCTAGCAGATTTTAAGGAATGTGAGTAAAGATGTGAATTCTGCACAGAGATTTGCAATAGGCATGACAATTCAGAATAAGAACACAGAGAGGAAGTTCCCCAGCATCCCTCATTGAACATTTCTGCCAATTCAGGCATGACTGAGATGGGCCATGTTGACAGAGCATCCCAGGAGCACGCGTGCCTCTGGTCCTTACGTGATGAGATAGAGAAGCCTGCCGGCTACTGAGACAGTGTCTTACTGGGAGCACTGCCCCTCATCACCATCTGCCTGCAGGCTGGAGGGCAGGCTGAGAGGTTGGTGGCTGCCACGACACAGCCGTGCACACAGGGGCTGCCCGACACTCACAAGGGTCTAACACCCGTTCTAGGGACCTTGTTCGGTGACCACTCTCACTGGCAGGAAGTATTTCTTGTGTATAAATAAGAATTCCTGATGCAATTTCAACCAACTTTCTTTCATTTGGTCCTCAGGAGGGAGAAGAAACAACTGGCTCATGCCCAGCTTCCTGGCACTGAATGGGCACACAGGCCTCAGGACAAACTTTCTCACTGGTTCTTCAATTAAGCACCTCCCCTTTTCCTTTTCATCCCAAATCAATGATCTGCACAAGGTACCTATTATTTTATACAGGTTCTTTGGCAAGGAACTACCTCCTAGATGCCAATATCCAAATTACCCCAATTCTGTAAATATAAGAGGTTGCAAGGTTTACTGTGATTACAATGAAGAATCTGATAATGTTTTATAGTAGTCACAGACTTTTACCAAAATTCGTGAAACGGAACCTAGTAAGTGTCTGGATGCGGTAAACCCTGACAGAGTAGAGTGGCCACATTTGTCCCCACAGTGTCTGACCGAGAGTGCTCTGGCTCGTGGAAGACTCAACTTCAGGTAAATAACCACTGCCTTTTGAGGGTGCAGAAAAACACCCTTTAAGGCCAGTTGGGCCATGAGAACCCAAAGGTAAAACACCTGGTTTATAGTTAGGCAGCACGCCAACAGAGGTGTTGACGTTTATAATTAGTATTTTGAAGAACAACTGCTCTCCGCCACTAAGATATAAACTTCACTTGCCAGCCACGTCTCTGACAACCTGCCTCTTGAAAGCCACAAATGTAAAAGCTCACGCTGTGATCCACGAGCCGATGTGGGAGATCACAAACAACAGGCTCCCACAAAGTGCAGGCTCCCGGCCCTGCACTCGGGGCCCCACGGCAGCTTTGTTTTCTAAGCCAAATGTGCTCGCTAGAGGGTTCCTACGGATCTGCCGGAGAAAGAAGCCAGACCTGCACTCCAGCCTTTTACAGTTGGAATCTCAACGGACACAAACCATGATCAGGAGACATTTCCATAACAAAGCCTAATGGGCATTGCTTCAGTGCCCGAGTGGCGGCTCCTCTCTGGTTCTAGGAGTTGATGCTCCAAGTCTTGGCCCAAACGCTACTTCCGGCCAGGAGCGGTGGCTCACGCCTATAATCCCAGCATTGTAGGAGGGCCGAGGCGGGTGGATCACTTGAGGTGAGGAGTCTGAGACCAGCATGACCAACATGGTGAAACCCCATCTCTACTGAAAATACAAACTATTAGTTGGGCGTGGTGGTGCACGCCTGTAGTCCAGCTACTCAGGAGGCTGAGGCAGGACAATTGCTTGAACCCAGGAGGCAGAGGTTGCAGTGAGCCAAGATCATGCCACTGCACTCCAGCCTGGGTGACAGAGCAAGACTCTGTCTCAAAAACAAAACAGAACAAATCAGTACGTCCATCTCGCGATGATTTCAGGTTGACTATCTGGGATGTTTTGACTGAAACTCACAAGAGCGGTCTATGTTACTCCAGACGGGAGCTTGAAGAATGGGAAGTTGAGGAAGCCCTGGCAGGCACTCAGGAGAGAATCTTGTCTTCAGTTGCAGGTGGTGGGAGGAGCCACGCCCAGCACTCAGCCAGCACTCAGGGCCCTAGCTGTGGGAACAGCCTGAGCAGGTTGCTGGGAAACCCAGCTAAAGGTGCTCGGGCAAGCTCCTGCGCTGCACCTCCCACCCTCCACAGAGCATACAATTGCTTTTCTTTTCTTTTCTTTTTGAGATAGAGTCTCACTCTTTCACCCAGGCTGGAGCGCAGTGGCACAATATAGCTCACTGCAGCCTCGACCTCCCAGGCTCAGGTGATCCTCCCACCTCAGCGTCCAGAACGGCTGGGACTACAGGCACGTGCCACCACACTCGGCTAATTTTTGCCTTTTTTTTTTGGGTGGAGATGGGGTTTTGCCATGTTGCCCAGGCTGGTCTCTAACATCTAGGCTCAAGCGATCCTCCAGCCTCTGCCTCCCAAAGTGCTGGGATTACAGGTGTGCGCCACTGCACTCGGCCAGTTGGTTCTTAATGAGTGTCTGCAACTGCTGGGGAGGTGCGGGTCTGCCAGTCAGAGCTGCAGGTAAGTGAGGGTCAAGCTGGTCCGCAGAGTGCAGCAACTCAGCTCAGAGTCCTGAACACACAGCCCAGCCCTCTGAAACCATCCCCTCCAGCACAAGGAAAGCAGCATTCTGCGGAAGCATCCACGGAAGCCTCAGGAAAATAAGTTTTACGCAAGGCACATATTCCTACCTTCTAGGCAGCAAAGTCAATGCCACAGGAGCAAAATAAGAGATTCCAGGCCTCTGGCTGGAGGGAGGTCACCAAGACTCCCTGGATTAGTGACTCTGATGCCATCAGGGTTTAGCTCGACACCTAAAGGCTACTCTGTAGGATTCAAAGCACACAGTACAACAACTATCCTAGGGCTTTCCAAATACCAGAGCAGAGAATTAGTTGGTACAGACTAGAAAACAGGGAAAGGGACTCCGCCTCTCGTATGAGGCGAAGGTTTCCTTCTAAGCACACAGACTGAGCCGCCCGGTTACGGGTTCCTGATGCTCACAGGAGGAAACTCATTCTCATCATCAAGACACACTGGTCCCGTCGCAAACTCATGTTCAGGAATAACTTCTCCTCGCAGCGCCCCGCCGTCCTCGGAATAACCTGGAAACCAAGAAAGAGACATGAAACAAGCCCTGGGGATCTGCTTTTATGCCATGACCTGGCGGGTGGGGAGTGGGAGCTCAAATAAAGGGCAAAGGAAGCAGAGGGGCTGTCTTCCCCCTGGAGGGACTGTGCCTAGGACAAGCCATAATCCTCACCATCTGCTGTCTTTAAGCCTGACCTGCCTTTCCACTTCGGATGTCTGAAACATCCTACCTCTTTGAAGTTTGCTTTGTTGAGGTAGGGTCTCACTATGTTGCCCTGTCTGGTCTCGAACTCCTGAGCTTAAGGGATCCTTCTGCCTCAGTTTAACTTCCTGAGTGGCTGGGACTACAGGCACTTTGGAATTTTTAGTTTAGCTTTAATTTTTTGAAAAGGAGTCTCACTCTGTCACCCAGGCTGGAGTGCAGTGGTATGATCTCAGCTCACTGCAATCTCCACCTCCCTGGTTCAAGTGATTCTCCTGCTTCAGCCTCCTGAGTTGCTGGGATTACAAGTGTGTGCCAACATGCCCAGCTAATTTTTGTATTTTTTAAGTACAGATGGGGTTTCACCATGGTGGCTAGGCTGGTCTCAAACTCCTGACCTCAAGTGATCTGCTCGCCTCAGCCTCCCAAAGTGCTGGGATTACAGGTGTGAGCCACTGTGCCTGGCCTCATTGCAATTTTTGAAGAGGCAAAGGGTTAACAGCACTTGTTAGGAAAAAGACCATATTGTGCAACGCCTTGCCAGGTTGAGGGTCCTACGTTTAAAGGCTATTACCATGGCCTCACCTGTGAGGAAATAAAAAATTCAAGAAGAGTGCTCCACCCCAAGGTAACAGTGAAGGGGGAAGGCGAGGGAGGGTGAAGGGGGAAGGCGAGGGAGGGCAAAGGGAGAAGGGAAGGGAGGGCGAAGGGAGAAGGGGAGGGAAGGCGAAGGGAGAAGGGCAGGGAGGGCGAAGGGAGAAGGGGAGGGAGGGCGAAGGGAGAAGGGCAGGGAGGGCGAAGGGAGAAGGGGAGGGAGGGAGAAGGGAGAAGGGGAGGGAGGGCGTTCCACCCCCAGGTAACAGTGAAGGGAGAAGGGGAGGGAAGGCGAAGGGGGAAGGGGAGGGAAGGCGAAGGGAGAAGGGCAGGGAGGGCGAAGGGAGAAGGGCAGGGAGGGCGAAGGGAGAAGGGGACGGAGGGAGAAGGGAGAAGGGGAGGGAGGGCGTTCCACCCCCAGGTAACAGTGAAGGGGGAAGGGGAGGGAGGGCAGAGGGAGAAGGGGAGGGAGGTCACTGTTGGAGATGCTCCCCTGTTGGCCCCGCATCCACCCACCTGGCACTGTGGAGGCTGAAGATGCACTTGGTCTGGCTACGGTTGCTGCATAAGACTGAGGTAAGGAAGGTCTGAGGTCGTTTTCTTTATTCTCTTCTGTTGTTCCTGAGCCAAGCAAGCTACTTGTGACAATCAAGAGGGGGTGAAAGAAAAAAAGAAATCATCATATATCTAGGACACCTTCCAAAGGAAAAGCATGAGGAAGCCTGTGCTCAGCTCTGTGGGTTATTTATTTATTTTTGAGACAGGGTCTTGCTAGGTCACCCAGGCTGGAGTGTAGTGGCGCAACCTCGGCTCACTGCAACCTCCGCCTCCTGGGTTCAAGTGATTCTCCTGCCTCAGCCTCCCAAGTAGCTGGGACTACAGGCACCCACCACAGCAACTGGCTAATTTTTGTATTTTTAGTAGAGACGGGGTTTCACCATGTTGGCCAGGCTGGTCTTGAACTCCCGACCTCAGGTAATCCGCCCGCCAACTCTGTGGGTTTAAATTGTAGACCTACCCACACGCTGCTGGGCCAGGATGAGCTGAAGTGACCTGAAACCGCCAGGGGCAGCTGCACACCGTCAAAGTGGCCCCTTTCTCTTATACTGACTAAACAAAGATTGGTCCTCTGCTCTTCCCAGTACACACAGGTGAGGACATGCTAGCTAGCAGAGTGGCCATCGGTGGGGGGCAGTGGCAGCTCTGGTGCCCTGGTCACAGCAGGAGAGCTCAGTCGTGCCCATTCACAGAAGTCATGAATGCTTTTCTTTTGTTTTCTTTTCTTTTTTGAGGCAGGGTCTCACTCTGTTGCCCAGGCTGCAGGGCAGTGGTGTGACCATGGCTCACTGCAGTCTTGACCTTCCTGGGCTCAGGTGATCCTCCCACCTCTGCCTCCCGAGTAGCTGGGACTACAAGGCATGTGCCACCATGCCTGGCTAATTTTTATATTTTTCCTTTTTGTAAGGATGGGGTTTCCCCATATTGCTCAGGCTGGTCTCAAACTCCTGAGCTCAAGCCATGCGCCCTCCTTGGCCTCCCAAAGTATTGGGATTATAGGCATGAGTCATGAGTCAACGTGCCTGGTGGAGCACCTTCCAATTCCACGCAGGGAACAGATTTTTTTTTTTTTTTTGAGACAGGGTCTCATTCTGTTGCCCAGGCTGGAGCACAGTGGTGTGATCATGGCTCACTGCAGCCTCAACCTTTCCAAGCTCAGGTGATTCTCCCTCCTAAGCCTCCCGAGTAGCTAGGACGACAGGTGTGTGCCACCACATCCGGCTAATTTTTGTATTTGTTTCTGGTACAGATGGGGTTTCACCGTGTTGCCCAGGCTGGTCTTGAACTCCTGGACTCAAGCCATCCGCCCGCTTCGGCCTCCCAAAGTGCTGGGATTACAGGGGTGAGCCACCGCGCCTGGTGGCAGGGAACATGTTTGAATGCCCACTGTGAACTCGGGGCCATGTTAGGAGGACAGGCCGAGGGGGGACCATCCTGTGCGTTATTAATCCTGGCACTTTTCCAGATGACTACCACAGGCTGAGGCCGCCTGACACAGCCCAGTGCGGAGCAGTAGCCCACTAGGGGTTTGCCGCTGAGACTGCCAGTGAAGAACAAATCAAAGCAAGGGCATTGAAGCTTGTCGCTGTTCTTGGCGAAGGGACAGCTCTACGCAACCAGCTCTTGACAGAAGCTGTCTTTTGAAAAGCAGTCTCTTCACCTGTGGGTTTTGATTAAGACACACTCTCCTCCATCCTGAGGATCCAAATTGTAGATATAAAGGTGTCCATTGGATGATGCAACTAGCAGCCGTGGCAACTTCTGGATCCTAAGGGCCAAGGAAAACATAAACTGTGATGACAACAGAGATGGGTGATGGGTTCGCTTCCAATGACAAAGCCCCCTTCACCCTAGCTGTCACCAGATTCTGCCTTTGACAAACCCTTAGCCCACTGATCTGGTCTGGGCTTCTGGCTATTCCTTTGCATTCTGGCCTTGGGACCTACTTTCAGGATTATTTCTTGTCTTTGAACGCAATAGTGTGGATGAGGCAAATGAGTGTAGATGTTGTAACCCTGTGAAAAGCAGTACCTAGCGAACACATTAGCACCCTACATGGGACTCAGTCTCCCTCTGACATGTGTCTCTGCCCCTAACCAAGACAGAAAGCGGGTAAATGGATGACTGGCTCACTGTCTTTGCTGGTAGGTTTTGTGAAATTTTAAAAATGTTCAACTTTTGAATAAACTCCTTTAAACTTCTTAAAACATCTGTCAGCCCCATAGGAGTCTGAACCTAGAAAACAGACCTGGAGGCTTTTTACATAATTACAGAAAAATAAGAATTGTTTTTAAGACAGCGTCGTTATAACCAGCAGGTTAAAATTCCCATGCCAACTTCTAGCTGCCCCCTGAGAATCCACATTGAAGTCAGATGGGAACAGCAGGGGTTTGATTCTGCTCACTCTTCCTTTGGGGCAAGTTTTCTTTTTCTTTTTTGAGACAGAGTCTCACTCGGTCACCCAGGCTGGAGTGCAGTGGCACGATCTCGGCTCACTGCAACCTCCACTTCCTGGGTTCAAGCGATTCTCTTGCCTTAGCCTCCCAAGTAGCTGAGACGACAGGTGCGCACCACCACACCCGGCTAATTTTTGTAGTTTTAGTAGAGACGGGATTTCACCACATTGGCCAGGCTGGTCTCAAACTCCTGACCTCAGGTGATCCGCCTGCCTTGGTCTCCCAAAGTGCTGGCATGACAGATGTGAGCCCCCGTGCCCAGCCTGGGGCAAGTTTTCTCTTTCTTTTCAGGTTCGGGGATTTTTGTGCTTTGGAGAAATAGATTGATGAAAGCGTGGTCTTGTTTAGAGTGGGTGGCGCTGTACGTACGTTGAGAGGGTACAGATGTTCCTCTGCCCGGAGAAGTTCAAGCGTGCGGTGGCAAAGGCCCGGTCCTGATGCATCATGTCGGACACCTGGGTTGGGAGGTAGTTGGTAGCAGCCATGAACATCTTTCCCATGTAGCCACTCCAGGTCGAAGTCTCTTCTGGTCGACTAGGGAGTAATGCACAGACAATGCTGGGACTGGGCTGCAGGCCCCACACACACCCAGGAATCTCCACACCCAAGCGTCATTAGCCACACTCGCCACAGCAGGGAGAGACTGTGCCTTAGCTAATGTTCTGCCCACTGAGAACAATCCAAGATGTATTATTCTGGCAATAACTAAAGAGCATCAAGGGCTTGTTTGTTCTTCAGAAGAGCCATTGTAAAGCTGTTACAAGGTTCCCAATGCTACTGCTTTCCCCTATTAAAGAAGGCTTATCTGATGACTAGTCTGATTCTAGATTTCTAGAAGAGAGCTGGGGTAGAGAGTGAGATGGACTCGATATCCCAGTGCCATTAAATGAGCTCTGGACTGTGCTGGGCTCATGGAAGAACAGACAGATCTCAACGTGAAGGCCTCCTGAGCCAGACTGAGTGGGTAGCAAACCTCCGGGCAAGAAACTTTGGGTGGTGTTTGATCGTAGATAACCCTGGAGTCACCCAGGTACCCAGCATGCGTAATGATGGAGATCATGCAAAGGGGCCTGGGATGTCGCCTGCAGTCGTGGAACTTCATCCCAAGGCCTCTGCCAGACAAAGGGGTGACCGTTCTGTTGGTAGGAGACAACCCCCAGCTCTGCCCCACACAGAGGGTGGCACAATAAGGACCAGGGCTGCCATGTGAGTTCCCAGGAGCAGGCAACTGCTGAGAGGCTGCTTGTCTGCAGGATTAGGTCCTGGTGGGAAGCTCGTGCTGCAGCTCAGAGCCCCGGGAGGCATTCTTTACTCTACTACCAGTGGGCTAGGGGGTCTTTGGACGAACCTCTCTGGGCCTTCATGTTCTCATCTGAAAGTGACTACGCTAGGTGCACCGCTGGGATTCTGTGATCCGAAGCATCCTGAGACATCCCTGTACTGATTGTCCCACAGCCCTGTGCTCCAGGCTGGGGTTTACAAAGAGGTGTACGATCCAGACCCTGCATTCCAGGTTGAGAGAGCACGGGTGTATACAAAGAAAAACAACGTGAGCAGTTAATATGTGGTGCTGCACAGATGGTCCAGGCAGAGCTAGTCCAGACCACAGAGGAGGGGAGAGGCAGATGAGGTTCCTTAACGTTTCTGTGTCCAGATTTCCTCATTTGGGAAACAGGAATCATCGTCACAACCTTCCCGACAGGGTTGCTGGGAGAACTAAGGAGGCTGAGGGCTGAGCATGGAGCCTGGCATGCGGCACGTGCTGTTTTATGGGACGGTGTCTCTGCGGCTGGAGGAAGTGAGGAGGTTCTGCGGGTGGTGGCTGCTGGGCTCTGCAGCAGGTCTGACTCAGCGGGGCAGGGAGGAGCTGGGATTTCATTCCCAAGCTCAAAGGGGAATAAAGGTGTCTGAGGAGGAGGTGTCATGTTCAAAGGGACATTTTCAGAAGATTAATCAGCAAGATGATATAGGGTGGATTGGTATTGGTTGAAAGAGACTGGAAAGTCAGACCAAATGTAAGAGTAACGGCTGGACCAGCACGAGGTGCTAAAGACATGGCTAAGGGCCCTGGCCAGCAAAGCACGGCTGAAGAGGCGCGTGTGAGCCGTAACTGCCGGGTAGATATGAATACTCCGTAGATAGGCTGGGGGAGGCACATGTCAGCCGTAACTGCCAGGGACATATGAACACCCCATGGACAGGTTGAGCGGAGAACCCAGAACAGCTTGGAGGTTCTGCTCCTGGTGACCTGTGTTCACAGACAGAAACGGGAGAGCCTGGAGTGGGAAATGAATCTCTGATAATAATCCCCGGTGGAGGCGGGGCTGCAGCAGCAATTGGGATCATTCACTCATGGAACCTTGGGGTTGAACAGCATCTTAACAGCTCAGCCGCCCTCCGGTGCTCAAACCCACGACAACAGATGATGAATTAAGGCTCCAAAAAGACTAGGGCTTAAGAAGCTGTCTGAGAAGTGAAAGAAAAGCCTAAAAAGTGGATATAATCTCCAGGGAAATAGTAAAAAGAACCTCAGGGCAAACAATGAGCTTTGGGTTACATCTGTGCAGATTGGGGGTTGGAAAGTTCTGGAAGGACAGAGGAGCGAGAAGGGAGAAGCCCCCAGTGTTTCATACACCACGGGGGGGTGGGGGACAAGGATTCTAGAGACGAAGAGACATCAGTCCCGTGGCTGTGATATGTGACATGCCTCAGGTGACCTCAGACAGCACGGGCTTTCTCTAATCACACGTGCCTTTAAAAACAGAGCTTTCTCCAACTGGTGGCAGAAAAAGATGGCAGAAGGGCAAGTTAGAGAAATCTTGACACCTCCCTTTCAGCCTTGTGTCACGCGGAGAAGAAGACCCAGTCCTGCCATTCTGGGCTTCTGGCTGCAGAACTATGAGATCATAAATGTGGCTGTTTGCCTGTAGTCCCAGCACTTTGGGAGGCTGAGGCGGGTGGATCATAAGGTCAGGAGTTCGAGACCAGCCTGGCCAACATTGTGAAACCCCGTCTCTACTAAAAATACAAAAATTAGCTGGGTGTGGTGGCAGGTGCCTGTAATCCCAGCTACTCGAGAGGCTGAGGCAGAGAATTGCTTGAACCCAGGAGGTGGAGGTTGGGCAACAGAGGGAGACTCTGTCTTACAATAAATAAATAAATGAATGAATGTGGCTGTTTGAAGCCCTTAAGTTGTGGTCATTTGTTGCTGTGGCAGTGGGAAATGATGACACATACCATTGGCTACACTCTAACACCGGCTTCCGTACGTGGCCAGCCCTTACTCCACTGCTGCCTCCATTGCGCTAGTGGGCATTGGTACCTGCCTGTGTCATGTATGTGTTAGCATGTGTCAGTGTGATATGGTGCCCAGCCTCTCTCATGTATGTATCGGTATGTATCAGCACAATATGGTGCCTGGCCTCTGTTACATGTATGTTAGCATGTATCAGTGTGATACAGTGTCTGGACTCTGTCATGTATGTGTGTGTATCAGCATGATATGGCGCCTGGCCTCTGTTATGTATGTGTTAGCATGTATCAGCATGATATGGTGCCTGGCCTCTGTTACGTATGTGTTAGCATGTATCAGTGTGATACGGCACCTGGCCCGTTACGTATGTGTTAGCATGTATCAGCGTGATACGGCGCCTGGCCCCTGTTACGTATGTGTTAGCATGTATAAGCGTGATACGGCACCTGGCCTCTGTTACATATGTGTTAGCATGTATCAGTGTGATATGGCGCCTGGCTCTGTTACATATGTGTAGCATGTATCAGCGGTGATACGGCGCTGGCCTCTGTTACTATGTGTTAGCCATGTATCAGCGTGATACCGGCGCCTGGCCTCTGTTACGGTATGTGTTAGGCATGTATCAGCGTGATACGGCGCCTGGCTCTGTTAACGTATGTGTTAGCATGTATCAGCGTGATACGGCGCCTGGCTCTGTTACGTATGTGTTTACATGTATCAGCGTGATACGCGCCTGGCGCTCTGTTCATGCGTCTGGTGTCTAGCATGTATCAGCGTGATACGGCGCCTGACCTCGGTTATGTATGTGTTAGCATGTATCAGCGTGATACGGTGCCTGGCCCCTGTTATGTATGTGTTAGCACGTATCAGTGTGACACAGTACCCGGCCTCTACACCTTCCTCTTCTGAAACTCCATCCGAGGGTACCAACAACCAACTCCCCAGATATGGTAGGCTTTCTGTCCTGATCCTGCCTTTCCCTGCAGGTTGGGGTAACGTTTTCAAAGCACTCTTTCTTTAGAATCCTTGCCCCCCACCGTGGGGTATGAAACACTGGGGGCTGCTCCCTTCCCACTCCTCAGTCTTTCCAGAACTTTCCAGCCCCCATTCTGCACAGGTGAAACCCAAAGCTCATTGTTTGCCCTGAAGTTCTTTTTACTCTTTCCCTACAGATTTTATCCACTTTTTAGGCTTTTCTTTCACTTTTCAGACAGCTTCTTAAGCCCTGAGAAATTGCAGGTGTTTCGCAAGCACTCAGCGGTGGTGCTGGCAGCGATGATAAATAAATATATTGCTATATTTACAGCTACATTAGCTGACGCTTCTTAGTGCTTACTATGTGCCAGGCACAATGCTAAACGCTTTGAGATCTGCAGACTCATTTAATCCTCGCAGCAAGCCTCAGATGCATATACTACCGTTAGGTTTGTTTTGCAGATGAGGAAACTGAAGGACACGGATCTAAATTATCTTCCCAGGATCTCCTGGCTCCTAAGAGGCAGAGCTGGACGTGGACTCAAGTGGGTGGCTCCCAGTTTTTTGCTTATGTGCATTATGCCCCCAAAGTTTTGCTAACACACTCCATCACTTAGGTGAAGCCCCAAGTAAAGCCAAGATCAGGGTGTTGAGAAAGAAAAGAGATCATTCAAGCCGGCAGAAGAGCCAGGGCCTGACTCCTTTCATTTAATGAGCATTTGGCACCCTGTGCAGTACTTGCCTGTTGGTGACCTGCTCCAGCTTGAAGATGTGTACCGTCTCGGTGTTACTGGAGGCGCAGAGGAATTGTGAGTCCATACTGAACACTAGAGAGCTGATTGTCACATACCTAGAAACACAGCAACACATGGGCCTGTGAGCTACAGAAATGAGAGTTACGGCCTTATAGCTCAGAGATCAGCTTTATAAGAAAATTAGATGTGTCCTGAAGAGCCTAGGTGGCTCCAAATCCCTTACACATTGTGGTGCCCATATTTAGAAATCAATGTCAGAAAGATTCACAAAGGGTCATAGTCTTTTTTATTTTATTTTATTTATTTATTTTTGAGACAGAGTCTCGCTCTGTTGCCCAGGCTGGAGTACAGTGGCTTGATCTCAACTCACTGTAACCTCCACCTCCTGGGCTCAAGCGATTCTCCTGCCTCAGCCTCCCAAGTAGCTGGGATTACAGGCACACACCACCACGCCCCGCTGATGTTTATATTTTTAGTACAGACGGGGTTTCAACATGTTGGTCAGGCTGGTCTTGAACTCCTTACTGACCTCAGGTGATCCGCCTGCCTCGGCCTCCCGAAGTGCTGGGATTACAGGCGTGAGCCACCGCGCCCGGCCCATAGTCTTATTTATGTGAGAAGAAACAAGGTATAGCCCTGCCTCTGTCAGCGGAAGGGAGGAACTGTGCCTGGCGTCTTGGAATCTTCCGGTTGCTCTGTGCACCGATCTGGCTGCAAACCTACATCCAGTAAGATCCCAAACAGTCACACTTTACATGGTCCTTTATTTCCATGGAAGGAAATCAGAAATTATTTTTGGACGGTGACTGCCTGGCTCTCTCATTTCTCCTGTGCCGGCCGCCCACACACACATCAAAAAGGGACTCTCATGGCTGAACTGCGTTAAAACAGCATCTCGGCTTTCAGTGTTGCCGAACCCTAAGTAAAGCCTGCAAGTCAATTACCTGGGAGAGTAGTTACACTTCCTCCAGGTGAGTGGAGGGCACAGAGCCACTCTCTGTCCTCTCCCTAGACAGCTGCCAGCGGCCCCTGCGGGACTTCTGCGGGGACTTTAAAATGGGTTTGACACTGAACACAGACCTTTTCATCCCTCTCCGGAACTCATAGAGCTTTTGCCCGTCAGGGACAGAGAACACCCGGATGACTGTGCCCTGGAAAAGAAAGCAGGTGGACATTTCATAACCGTTAATGGTTTCACACAGAGATGTCCCTTCAGAGAGGAGTTTGTTTGACTGGTTTTGAACATCTGTCTCTGAGGAAGCACACCGTGTTGAGCGTAGAGGTATTTTTATTTATGTTCCATATCAACAATTCCTGGAAAATGTTTTAAACACCCGCTGTCTACCTTTTCCTTTCCACCTGTGCCCAAGGCTGGTGTGTGTGTGTGTGTGTGTGTGTCTGTGTGTGTGTGTTCGCCCAACTGCTCTGGTTTCTTAGAATTTCAGTTTGAGGCTGGGCATGGTGTCATCCTAGCACTTTGGGAGGCCAAGCCGGGTGGATTTTCTGAGCTCAGGAATTCAAGACCGGCCTGGGCAACAGTGAAACCCTGTCTCTACTAAAATACAAGAAATTAGCCAGGCGTGGCAGCATGTGCCTGTAATCCCAGCTACTGGGGAGGATGAGGCAGGAAAATTGCTTAAACCTGGGAGGCGGAGGTTGCAGTGAGCCGGGATCGTGCCATTGCACTCCAGCCTGGGTGACAGAGCCAGACTCCATCTCAAAATTAAAAAAAAAAAAAAAAATTCAATTTGATCACTTTCTCTGATTATTCCAGGCAGAAGACGTCAGTTTCTCTAAATAGCAAAGTAAAGCATTTGGTTTGCACTGTACTGTGTTTATAAGGTGTAGCATCTGTCTGTCTGTACGGCTGATGTGCATGTACATTTCTTCATAAGACCACGAATTTTCATGCAAAGTGTCTTGTATCTTGCATAGTGCAGGCCCCTGGCCTATTGAATTATTGAATTAACAAATGCATGAATATAGCACACATGCAGAGGCCAGAAATTCTCCCTCTGAAACAAATTCTGAGTGGGCCCAGAGACCAGTCAGTCTTCATGTCACCAGGCTCGTTCCATCCCAGCCCTGGGCATGGCAGGAGCCATCCAGCGAACCCCAGACAGAGGCGTTGGTGGGAGTGGACTCACTTTTTCAGACGCACTTGCTAGTTTGGAGCCCGAGGCATTGAAGGTGATGGCAGCCAGTGTCCCCTCGTGGGCAGCAATAGTGCAGACTGTTTTCTGTTGGTGAAAAGGCAAAATGGATACTGAAGATGTGGAAGAGGGAAGATGGATTTCACCCTTCCTCTTTTCTCCTTTCTCCCTCCTTTGTCCAGCTCCCTGTCCATTCCTCTGTTCCCCAGGCCATTTGCATGTAAGCTGCGCGTCATTTCCTGGTGAATCAAGATTCGGCTTCAAAGGCCACTCCATTTCCTTCCCTTTTCCTGCCCTCGGGAAGGTGGCCACGAACTGAGCAGCTGACGCAGGGTGATGCCGTCGCAGGCGTGTCCTGCACGCGTGTTTAGGGAACTTCCCACAGCAATCCTGTCCTGCTCAGGGATGCCTCAGAGACCAGAGGGCAGGGAATATGAAACACCTGCACACTGTCTCAGGCTGTGGCATGGGACAGCGTGACACATTCAGGCAGACAACTGGCCCCCTGCTGGCAAGTGGTTTTTCATTATGCTGCAGATGTCTGCCTTGGCCTGGCCGGCTGGCTCATGGTGATGTTGACTGACAGGAAGCCCGAGGGGAAATAGCATCACCTTCTCTTGAACAACTCCCCCAGTATTGCTTACCCCCACCGCCTCCAGCCCCCCGCGGCAGGGTGTCCTTATCTATCTCCTTCCATGACCACACAGCCAAGGCAGATGGGTTGGCTCAGCCAGGTCACTGTCAACTTACCAGGGAGTTTCCATCATAAAGCACAATCTCCCCTGAAGTCAGGCTTCCAGGATAGGCCAAGTAAGAATTGGAATGGTTGATAGAGAGAGCACATAGACCTGGCAAAGAAGAAACAGGACATGAGAAATCTGGGGCCAAGGGAGAGAGTGCGCGGCTGGAGAGGGCATCTGAAAACAGTACAGCTACAGTGCCACCTACTGGCAAGGGGAGGAATAGCTTTGTAGACAACTGCTTTCCACTGATGATTCTTCTGATCAAAGGGTTCCAATAAAGCCAATCCACAGGGGAAGACCTCCTGATTTAACACTGGCTGTGTCCTTGCTACAGTGAAACAATGAGACTTGCCAGGTGCAGTGGCTCACGCCTGTAATTCCACCACTTTGAGGCGGGCAGATCACTTGAGGTCAGGAGTTCCATGGCCAACATGGTGAAACCCCATCTCTACTAAAAATACAAAAAGTAGCTGGGCATGGTGGTGCATGCCTATAGTCCCAGCTACTTGGGAGGCTGAGGCAGGAGAATCACTTGAACCCGGGAGGCAGAGGTTGCAGTGAGTGGAGATTGTGCCATTGAATTCCAGCCTGGGCAACAGAGTGAGACTCCATCTAAAAAAAAAAAAAAAAAAGAAAATTCACACTTTTATCAACTATACTATGTCGATTCTTCTAAGATTAGAAAAGTAGGCCGGGCATGGTGGCTCATTCCTGTAATTGCAGCATTTTGGGAAGCCAAGGCGGGTGGATTTCTTGAGCTCAGGAGTTCAAGACCAGCCTGGGCAACATGGCAAAACCCCATCTCTGCCAAAAACAAAAAATTAGCTGGATGTAGTGGTGCACA